AGCCAACTAAATAAAGCCTATCCAGTTCCCTACTGAGCCATCTTCAATATGGAAAGAACACAAATGGGATGAACTAGAAAAATGCAACCTAGCAGTACTTCCAACATCAACACTCCAGGATAATATCATTAAAGTGAATTACTGGGTAAAATGGACTGTGTTATATAAATGCTTTAACATAACATCAACACATAAAATGGACAGAAGATGGAAATTAATGATTTAGTTTGCAAGGAAACTTAAAATTAGTAAAAACCTAATACTGACAGGGCTGGCGGGTTCGGATCCTATATAGGAATGGCCGGTGCGCTCACTGGCTGAGCGTGGTGCATGACACCACACCAAGGGTTGTGATCCCCTTACCGGTCACGAAAAAGATAAAAAAAAAAAAAAAGCACACCTAATACTGACAATATGAACATGGATTTTGACAACCCAGGTATACACCCAAAAGAACAGAAAACATGTTCAAACAAAAATATGTACATCTGGCCAGTTAGCTCAGTTGGTTAGAGTGCAGCCTTGTAACACCAAAGTCATGGGTTCAGTACCCCTTGCTGGCCAGCCACCAAGGAAAAAGTGTTCAAGAATGTTCCTAGCAGCACTAGCCAAAATAGCCAAAAGATGGAAACAACCCAAATATCTTTTTAAATAAACAAAATGTAGTATATCTCTGCTGTGCAATATTATTCATCTATAAAAAGGAATGAAGTACTGATACATACTACAACATAAATGAACTTTGAAAACATGCTAAGTGAAAAAGCCAGACACAAAAGGTCATATATTATGTGATTGCATTTATATGAAATATCTAAACTAGGTAAATCCATAGAGGCAGGGAATAGGGAGTGACTGCTTAATGGGTATGGGATTTCTTTTTGAGGTGATGAAAATGTTTTGGAATTAGACGGTTGCACATCATTGGTGAATGTACTCAATACAGCTGAACTGTACACTTTAAAATGGTTAATCTTAAGTGAATTTTATCTTAATGTCATCTCAGAACGCAGTGTTGTTATTCTGAAGTTAGTGCTAAAAAATTACCTAATACAGCTCTAGTACTTTATATATTAAAAAGCATGTGCTTTCTCATAAAGTGGGACCACAGAACTTGAATATTCCTATCAGTTAAAGATCTTAGAATTGTTTTCTCTCCCATAATGAAATCTAGTGTTTCCTTTAAGTACTATATTGAGCAAAATATTAAAATTTTTAAGACATTTTATTGTATTAAAAAAATTAGTGTTGGCCACATTTCAGAGGAAAGATTTTTCCTAATGAGTTGTCATGTGGGTCTTGTGATAAATAAAACAGACTTATCTTTCATTAGATATGGATTTTGGACTTGTCCCAATCCAACTACTTTGTAGGGAACCTCTGCCTTGTATTTCATAGCTAGAGAATATGAGATCTAAAGATGTCAATTTTCACCAGAAAGATCTCACAGTAGTGTTCTCTGGATCTTCTCTCCCTTGTATTATGCTCCTCAGAGATCTATCTCCAGACTGAAACCAGCACATTCTGGTGAGATTATACCCTAGTACTCTCAGAAAAGTTACCACCCAGTGTAACTCTTAGAAATTTGAAACAACTGATTTCAGTATTCAGAATTTGAAAAAGAATGCACATTACAGCCAGAAATGATTTGCTTGCTAATGAATCATGAGCTATCAGCATATTTGTTTGCTGCAGTGGCAATGGCATAAAAATTCATTTTAAACAGAATAACATGTTCTAAAATATTCTTACTCGTTTATAATCAATATAAAATTTTGGAATGTTAATTCCTACAGCAAGAACTTGTAACATCATGAGATGTGGTTTACCATAGAAAGTTACTAGACTTCCCATATTCTATTAAAGTTAAATGTACTAAAATACGAAAATGTAATAGAAAAATTCACCCACAAAGATGGCTCTAATTACTTAAACATTTCCGAATAACACTTTATTCTAACTCATGAGTACAAGGAAATTTTGGTATGCTACTTACACAATGTTCTTAGTGTTCCCTACCTTTGGACTCCAATCATTCTAACATAAATCTCCATATCTGTATACATAGATTTGACCAGAGTATGTGGCACTTGACAATAGCATTCCATATCCTATTCTTTTGAAATGCCTGTATACAATCTGATTATACTGTTTAGTCAGCAAATATCAAATTTAAGGATTAAGGACATGAAATGTTTGGTAAGTGCTTCGTTTTTCTGATCAGAGTTCAATCTAGCCAGACATGCTATTAATACAGGACCCGTATGCTTTTTCATGGGCATGAGTAATTATGTCACGTTATAATTTTTCCTTTCAAAATGTTCCTCAACTTTTTGCTGAGAAAATTTTTGTTTTCTTTCAAGTTACTATAAGGGTCCTGTCAACATGTTTTTCTGAAAGCAAACTAAAAACAAATTTTAATAAGAGAAAAATATATTTTGAAAATAATCAGATTCTGGCTTTAATATATTATTTATGGATTTGTAAACTGCTGTTAAAATGCTCTCAAAAATGTTATTTAGGAAGGCACAATTTGGTAGCATCAAATTTTCATTTACAGCCTTTTCTAAACAAAATATCAAGAAACTTCCACCTTAATCTTTCCCTTCAAGTACTTTAAGTACCTCAAAGTTCAGTATGAAGTACAGGTAAAACCTTTCATTCTCAAACTTACTAAACTTAAGAGTTAATACATTTGACAGTGAACAGGATATGAAAGTACTGATTACTTTATCAAAAGAGGACAGTTCTTATCATATTGGGTTCAGACATTAAAGAATTTGAAACGAGCTTTCCTGACTGTAGAAAATCAGAGCTCTTCTTGAGGTGTGCGGGCTTTTAATACCTAACCTAGGAATTAAATGCAGAAATATGAGATAACATTACAGTTATCCTGAACATCAAAAAAAGCAACAGCTAAAGCATTACAAATAAGGTATGGTGATAACTGAGTTAGTAAAGCTTGGTTACCGCTCTAGGCTAGACACTGATCAGTACAACTGCCTGTAATTTCTAATTTTAAAAAGAATTTGGCTTCATATTTAAATTTCCTTTAAAATATATGTTATATATAACGCTGTCCTGTAACTCAAACTATAATGCCCAAGTTTATAAAATGAATAGTTTATTTCAGAAATGCTCAAAAGCCCTCCCCCTTTTCCTACTTATAAAAACTGACAATTTTGAAAATACTTTTAGCATAGAAATGCTTAATAGTTCATCCAAAATTTCAAGCCCATATCAGAAGGCAGTTTCTCATAAAGTAATATATTGTGCTGTATTCCCTAATATCATATGGTCAAATACCCTGTTGTTTTGTGAACATTTTTCATGGGCCAGAGTAATTATAAAGACAATGGGATCAAGTTGAATATGATGCTACTCACTTTGAATACTAAATTGTGCTTGCATCCTAAAAATGAAAACATCCATTTGTAGCATACACTAAAAACTAAAATCCTAAAAATAATAAAAACACCATACTTGTTAGTTGAAAAATGAAGGATCAGGAGCAATAACAATTGGTGATAGTATATTTTAGGCTTTAGTTAAAGTTCTGAAATTGTATTAAATTACTAACCAAATTGAGGTAGAGGTAGACCCTACTGTTATTCCTTCCATGTGTCAAAATTTAGGTCTCTCACCTTAACTTGTATGCATTCTGCCCCCTGCCCCACCCCACCCCACCCTACCCCAATTGTATAAACATGATTCAATTTGGAATGTGTGCTATGAAAGAAAAATTATAAGATCATTCAAATGGTACTTAAAAAATCACTTGTGAAATGTACACAGTAATTCAATTTTCTTCTTGCTAGTCACAAATATATTTGTTTTTCCTCCAAGTATAGCAAAAAAAAAAAAAGGGTAGAGAAGCTGTATGATACAAATATGAACAGTCTCATAATGAAGACATCTGGACAATAACTAGTAAGGTATAACATTTTACCTTAGTGTTTAGTTTTCCTCTTTTGATGGTTAACCATATAAGCTTTGATTTAAAAAAAATTTTCTACTACAATAACTAACTTCCTTTTCAGACTTAAATTCCATTAAACACAAATCTATTTCCATTTTAAATCACATACAAGTGCTATGTGATCAGAGGGATGGGAAACACTAGGTAAGGCCTGGTGGGTAGTGACTTCTTCATGACTAGGTAATGGAATCACCTGTTCAACCTCTAACGCATTTAAGTCAATGAAAATGTAATCTAGACATCCATGAAAGCCGCCAACGTAATTTGTGTAAGCAGGTTCACCACAAGCACTTTTTAGTTTGAAGAAATGTGTAAGAGACATGTTGCATCTTTCCTCTTCCCCATTGGAAGCCCAGTCTTCATGATCCTCTGGAATGTTGCCATTGATGACAAAATGATACATTCCTGTAGATGGTGTACTATTAAAGTCCCCACAAAATATAATTGGTATGTCAGGATACAGATCACATGAAACATGTCTAATGTGAGTCAGGGCTACTGCCATTTGAATGAGGCGAATGTACCCACCTATGAATATAAAAAAGATTAATGTAAGTACTTTTAAAAGTTGTCTTCAAGTAAAAAAAAAAAAAAAAAGAAAGAAAAAGAAAAAACCCTCACAAACTAGTTTCTGGGTGACAGTCAAGATAAATATTTGTGTAAAACAGCTTTTGCAACCCTAAGTTGCCATGTTTAAGTCACTTGTAAAACCAAATTAAACATACCTTTTGGATGCCAGTAGAGATGGGTATTAGCAACACATATCTTTTTAGAACAGTCCTTTGTAGACTGAAGAACTGAAACCTAAAATAAAAAGTGCCAAGAGTTCATATGGTGTCTGCCAATCTCCTGAATGTTTTTTAAATCTAAGACTGTATGATGAACTGACATTTTATTCCATATCCTTCCCTTAATGAACTAAGATCACAATTATGAAATTTGATCTTTGCTATATGTTTTAGGATATACATGAATAGAATTCAGTGTAGTATATTTTAATAACAGTTCAACATATGAAGCTAGTATTAAAATATTAAAATTCTGCATCCCTGAATTCAACCAACCTCAGATTCAATAAACTGCAGATTCAAACAACTGTGGCTTGAAAATTTTTTAAAAATAAATTAATAATACAAGAATAAAAAATAATACAAATTAAAAAATAAAAATAATACAAATTAAAAATACAGTATAACAACTATTTACATGGTATTTACATTATATTTAGGTATTATGAGTAATCTAGAGATGATTTAAAGTGTACAGGAGGATGTGCATGGGTTATATGCAAATACTAGGCTATTCTGTATAAGGGACTTGAGTACTGGTTTTTGGTACTACCAGAAGTCCTGAAACCAACCCACCCTGGATATCCCATGGAGGACTGTAATATGTTCTAGATGACAACACTAAGGTTGGAGACAGTGTTTTCAAGTGGGTAAGCACAAGCTTTGGAGTCAGGCTGACCTAGGTTTGACTACCCATTCTTTCACTTACAGCAGTGTGAACTGGAGAGACATTTCTCTAAGCCAGCTTGGTATTGGTAAAGAGACAATACCATTCACCTCACGGAGGACTGTTGTATAGATTCAATTAAATGAGCTTATAAGGAAGTGCATGAAACACAGTAGGCGCTCAAAAAAAAAAAAAAAATGGCAGCTACTGTTCTCCTTATGAACAAAATTACTTAAAAACTTTGGATACACAATGCACATGTTTTTTTAAAATGAAGATAGTTTTGTGCTGAGTATCAGTTAACACCCTGCCCAGTGATCATGGTATATATAACTGACTGGGTGAGAATCTTAGCTCCATACTGGGGGGAACTTGGGTAAGTAAACGATCATTTTTTCCCTCATTTATAAAATGGTAAGAATAGCATTTATAAGAATAACATCTATAAAACAGGAATAGCAGATTACTATGAAGATTAAATGAGCCAATGATTAAAAAAAACACTAGCTAATATTTAAAATTTAAGAACAGACATTCCATGACTTAACGATGGTTACTTTTACGATTTTTCTACTTTAGGACGGTTTTATCCGGATGTAACCACATCGTAAATCGAGGAGTTTGTGGATTTAGGATGGCCTGACTTACGATTTTTCTATTCTATCTTTAAGAACAGACATTCCATGACTTAACGATGGTTACTTTTACGATTTTTCTACTTTAGGACTGTTTTATCCGGATGTAACCACATCGTAAATCGAGGAGTTTGTGGATTTAGGATGGCCTGACTTACGATTTTTCTATTCTATCACGGGTTTATCGGGGTAGTAAATGCATTTTTGACTTACCATATTTTCTACTTATGATGGGTTTATTAGGACGTACCCCCACTGTAAGTCGCGGATCATCCGTACTTTAAAACGTTTCAGAACCGTGCTTGGCAAGTAGTAAAAAATATTAGCTATTACCATTATTGTTGTATTTAGCTAGACTGTAAGCACTATGACAGACGCTGTTTGTCTTGTTCAAGGCAATCTGCAGCATGGCAGGCATATTAAATTAAAGGGGTAAATATTTGCTGAACGAATGAATGAAGACTAAACTTTGTGCTGAAAATATACGAGGAAACACATCTTTCAATAAAGTCTTGATATTTTCATATCAGTTATAACCCCACCACCAGCCCCCGCCTTCCAGGCCCTTAAAAATTGGCAAGGATGTGAAGATACAGGCGGAAGCTACTTTACCTGAAGGACAGAAGATCTCTGGAGCACTCTCTCCTGCGCAGATGGGTACAAAACTAGTTTCTCCAGAAGTTCTTTGTGAAGTGGGTCGGACTCCAGAGCTTCGTGGAAAGAAATGTCATGCTGGCTAAGGAGGCTGAACTTAGACTTTCGGTAGAAGGTGGCCAGGCCTTCGTGCTGCTTGATTCGAAACAAGCCCTCCAGCCCGAAGGCCTCGAGAGCGGGTACCAAGCTGTCTGAAAACACTGCACGATCAACCTCCTGCAAACAAATGAAGTCGGCGTTGTAACCTGTGAGTTCCTTCTGGATGAGGTTCTGGCGGTAGTCAACCTCCAGGGCGTAGGGGGCACAGTATGGGTACAGGACTGTACGCGAGAACTCAGTCTGAGCGTACGTGTCTGCCAGGATGTTGTAGGAGACAGTGCGGATGAGAGCGTCCTCTGTAACTTTGTTTGTGTAAAGATGACGGTGGTCAAAAGTGCAGGTGCCAGGCCCGGCCTCCACTGGACACACGCTTTCCAGCTCTCGGCTCGGTCCGAAGCGCTGCCCATTGCCTGGGGTGCAGTGAAGCTTGAGCCGTAGCCCGATGTCGGCATTGGACGGAGTGTAGACGCGCTCGTCCACACCCGTCTTGGTCCAAGTAGAAGAGGGTGAGGAAGGAGACAATGACGAGGGGCCACCGTCCTCTGGCTCAGCAGCTCCAGGCTTGGCTTCCTTGTACCATCGGAAGAGGGAGCCGGCGGCATCCCCAAATTCGAGGCTGAGCTTGGGGCACACCGGGAAGCCGGCCATAATGTAGCGCGGCAACTGCAACTCGGTGAAGGCGGGCGGGTTGCGCTCCACCTTGTACTTGACATCGCCGATCTGCAGCACCGCGCCATCCTGCCAGGCGTCCACGTTGAGCACGTCGTCAGCAACCGCCTCCTCTCGGTAGTAGAGTTTCACCACAGGCTCGGAGGCCGCAGCCGGCTCGGGCCCAGGCCCTGCACAGGCCGTGCCGCTGCTCGTGTTCGGCCGGTTCTTCCTGCTCTTCCTGGCGGCGGCTGCCTTAGCGTGGCCCTTGAGAGCGTTGGTAGCGATCCGGCTGAGAACCCGACCCAGCGGCTCGCTCTGGTCGCGCTGCATGTTCTTGTGGCTGCCGTCGGCTAGCGCGAACGACAGGCTCAGCTTGGGCTCGGAGGGCACACAGCGCACTACAGCGCGCTCCATCCCGCCACCCGTTGTCTCAGTCACCGCCTCGGCTCGGCTTCTCTGCTCCACCGCCGTCCGGACCCCACGAAGCGCGGCACGGGCGCCTAGAAGCCTCCACATGAACCCGGTGGCCCAGCGACGGACGAGACCAGCGGCCGAGCGGAGTCCCAGTGTCAAAGAGAGGGGTCGCAGCTGCCGGCTCCAGGACCCATTCAGACCCTGCAACTTCCGGCCGGCGAGGAGCGGGCGCACGGTGCTCCTGCCGCGCACTTTCGGCATTCCTGTTTACCTGCTACTTCTTTCCATAGCCACGCCTGCTTATAATCCCTCATAGCTTAATTTTTATCTTCAACCCGTGTCACAATGAAGGAGAAATGAATAAAATATAGAGGTGCCAGAGGGAAATACTAGACTCCATGCTTTTGTCGAAAGTGCAGGACGGAGGTCAGAGGGAAGGTATGCCAAACCGGAAATGCTGGGGCGGTGTTACCGGTTCCGCTCCGCTAAAGGAGGCGGGCGGCCTCTCCTGGACTTCAACTGCCGGGTTTCTATTCGCTCCGCGGTAGGCTGGGCTGCGCAGGGACGTGAGGAATTCTACACTGTTGCCGCCTTGAGTCGGGGCGTGGAAAGTGTTGCTTATTTTCTCTCCACATCTTTGCGGATCCTGCTCTCCCTATTCAGAGGTGCAGTGGGTTCTCCCTCAGGCGAGGCCAACGCCTAAGCGGCGAGCTGAGTGAGCCTTTGTGGTAGTTAACGAACAATATACAATAACTCCTATTTAGTGAGAACTGACTATGCTAAAGATGCTACACAAAATATTTAAGTCTCGCAATTCCTCTTGTGTAGGTCCCTTTAGACGTTGCTTATAGATGTGAGGTCGAGACATTAAATTACCTGGTTACACAGGTAGTAGTAGAATAGTAGAAACAAATAGGATTGTACTGACAAACTTGGGCAAAGCTGTTCATTTTTAATTAGTTGAGAAATAGGAAAACCCTTTCTATTTAGAGTTGCCGGATGTGGCAGATAAAAATACAGGTCGACTAGTTAAATGTGAATTTCGGATAACAAGGAATAATAATGGGACATAGTTATATTAAGAAATGTTGTTTATCTAAAACTCACATTTAACTGGGCGTCTTGTATTTTATTTCTATTTCTTTTAAAGGCCTTGAAGTGTAAAGTAACTTGGTTTGTTGCAGACCAGAAAAAAGTCTGGCATGACTGGAATACAGTGAGCCTTGGGGAGAGTAGCAGGTAGGAAAGATAGTAATTTACCAAATTGTGAAGTGCATTCTAAGCCATAGTATAAAGTTCTGGATTTTTTTCTAAGTAAAGGGAAGCTAGGGGAGTTGTTTTTATTACAATTATGGAGAAGTTTCAACTTTTCATTTTCCTCAAAGGGGAAAAACTAAAAATATTTAGTTAACTGTGGGAAAAATGGGTTTTAATGTCCTCATTCTCATTGAAAATTTTAATAATTTTGTTTCAGAATTTTCATAGAACTTTAAATAACCCAGAAAAGCATTTTATACTTTAAAAAAACTTCTTAGAAAGTGCTTTTTCCCTTTGAAAAAAAAAAACAACCTTGTTTTTTTGAAAAGTAGTTTTCCAAAAGTATGTGGAAAATACTTTTTTAAAAAAATTGAGATAAGGGCCAGCCTCTGGCTCACTTGGGAAAGTGTGGTGCTGATAACACCAAGGCCACGGGTTCAGATCCCTATATAGGAATGGCTGGTTAGCTCACTTGGGAGAGCATGGTGCTGACACCACCAAGCCAAGGGTTAAGATCCCTTTACCGGTCATCTCTGGAAAGAAAAAAAAAAAAAATTGGCATATAATTCACATACCATAAAATTCACTTTTAAAATGGACAGCTTAGTGGGCTTTAGTATATTACAAAGTTGTGCATACTATCTAATTCCAGAACATTTTCAACATCCCCAAAAGAAACCCCAAAACTTAGCAGTCAGTCCCCATTCCAATTTCCCACGGCTCCTGGCAATCACTAATATTTCTGTCTCTATGGATTTGCCTATTCTGGACATTTAAGTGGAATCATACAGTACGTAGTTCTTATTTTCTGTCGTCTTTCACTTAGCATAATGTTTTCAAGTTTCATCTGCAAGTATCACTCTGTCATTTCTTTTTGTGGCTGAATAGTATTCCATCGTATGATTATACCACATTTTGTTTATGGGACATTTTAATTAGGGGAGTTAACTTTCATGATGTGTTTTAAAAAGATAACTCTGGTTGCAGGATATAAATGGGATTATAGAAGGGCCGGAGTAAAAACACAGAGAAAGGAGGCAGGAGCAGCTGAACAAATGATAGGGTATTTACAGAGATGGGGGAAAGATTGGGGTAGAAGTATGTGTGGGGGAGGAAATGAAGAGTTTGTTTAGACCAAGTTAAATTTGAGGTGCTTGTCAGGTTCCATGAGGTTTTTACCTCATATCCGTAGGCAGTTGGATATAGGACAGAGGTTAGGTCTGAAAAGACCTACTCAACCTATCAAGGGTCCAGGGCAAGTGTATAAATGGAGGCCCACACACTATTTTAAATCAGGCTAACAAGCTGTTAAATAAAATGTGTTCTATTCTCCTACTTTGATGAGTATACATCAAAGGCATCTTGAGAAGAGCTATTCCTTGACTCTTGGCCACATACCTTATCTTTCCACCTGGGCTTCTTTCCTGCATCTTGAGAAGCTTCATGTGGGTAGGTGTGGACACCAAGCCTGAATGTCCAGACTTTACCCCCAAACAACTGTTCTTTGGTTAGCCTGGGGACCTAGAGAAGGAATACATAGGTTCTGTATGGGCATGTCTCCTTGGCCTCATGGACCCCTCACCTTGTGGATGGGTGTGTGGCCAGAGGTGGGCCAGAGCAGGAACCCTAAGACAGAGTGCCCTGTATAGAGTGGATGAGATCTCCAAGGAGAGATTGAGATAGAGAAATGACCAAGAATTTGGGCCCTCCAACATTTAGAAGTCAAGAAGTGAAGGAGACAAAGGTGTGTAAGTTCCATGAGGGAAAGGACTTTTATCTGTTTTGTTTACTGCTGAATCTCCAGTATTTAGAAAGGTCCTGGTATACAATACATATGTGTTGAAAGAATGACAGGAGACAGAAGAAATAGGCAGTGAGTAAGAGGAAATGAGAAGTAAAGCTTCAACTGAAAGCCAGATGAAGAAAGTATTTCAAGAAAAAGTAATTTTGTGTTGAATGCTATTGCAGTTAACATTCTGTGATTAACTGCAGAAGAAAGAAACCTTGACAATTCAAAGAATATGTTGAGAAATCAAGATATTATCTACTTGTATCTCACTTTTCCTGGAGCTAGGATGTTTGTTTATTGGGTTTCTAATAATAAGCCATGCCTTTCCCCCTGGTTTACCATGAGGAAAATAAACTTTTTGAACTGTGTCCTAAAAGAAAGATGAATTTTGCAGTCATTTGAAATTTCTAGACCTGTCCTCTCCTCCCCCATCCACCAAGCATTGACAGAATGACTGGATACTGAACATATATATGTAGTCCAGGGCTACAGTATAGGGATAAATTAGAAATTATATTTCAACTAACTCACCTATGGAAGGGAGAATAAGACTCAGTATTCCAGTTTATAGGACCCACATTAACAAATATGAATTATGAAATTTTACTTTTATTTTTCTTATCCCAACCATTTTTCTTCAAGTAACTGCAGAACTCAATCAATCTTAGTCTATTTAATGAAAGATAAATGCTCTGTTAGAAAAATGTGACTTTCCTTCAGGCAAGCTGATCTAATTTAACCTTATGGCAGAGTCTTAATTGTGGTTTTGAGACATTCCTTAAAGTGTCAAACTTTTTTCTTTTAGTTTTTTTGATATTATAATTTTTTGAAAGAGTAAAACATACCCACAGTGAAAAAAGTATCCTTCCAAGCTTCTGGTCAAGATGGCCGAGTAGACGGTTCCTAGCGTTGCTCTCTCCCACAAATCAACCAATTTGCAACTGTTAAAAAGGAACAACAGGAGACCCAAGAGCCGTGCCAGAACAGGCAGGAGCTGTGCACCATGGGACCCCCAGCCCAGGCCAGTGCCTGCCACCCAGAGAGGCCTGAGAGCCACTGGGCCCACATGCCCTGAGTCAGCCATGCCTGAATAGGCATTCACTGTGGGACCCCCAGTCCAGGCCAGTCCCTGCCACCCATAGAGGCCCAAGAGCCACTGGGCCCACATGCCCCGAGTCAGCTGTGCCAGAACAGGCAGGTGCTATGGGACACCCCCAGCCCTGGTCAGTCCCTGCTGCCCAGAGAGGCCTGAGAGCCACCAGGCCCACATGTCCTGAGCCAGCCATGCCAGAACAGGCAGGTGCCATGGGACCCTGAGCCCAGGTTAGTCCCCACTGCTAAGAATTGGAAGTCCCATCAGGATCCAGGCCAGTCATCAGGGTGGAACAAATAGACCATGATACCCCCACCACAATGACTAAACACCAAAGAAAAGATACCAGAAATATGAAAAATCAAGAAAGCACATCACCACCAAAGAAAAATAATAATTCCCAAACTCTAGATCCTATAGAACAGAAAGTCCTTGAAATGACTGACAAGGAATTTTGAGCAGCAATTCTAAGGAAACTAAATGAGATACAAGAAAACTCAGACAACATAATGAAATAAAAATATACAGGACCTGAAAGAAGAAATGTACAAAGAAATCTGTGCTCTGTAAAAGAACGTAGCAGAGATTGTGGAACTGAAGGATTTGTTCAGTGAAATAAAAAACAACAGAGAGTATAACCAGCAGGCTAGAACAAGCAGAAGAGAGAACTTCTGACCTTGAAGACAGGCTATTTGAATTAACACAGGCAGACCAGAAAAAAGAAAAAAGATTTTAAAAAATTGAAGAAAAATCTAAGGGAGATCACAGACAACCTTAAGTACTCAAATATCCAAATCATGGGTATTCCAGAAGGGGAGGAGAAAGGAAATGACATTGAAAACATATTCAATGTAATAACAGCAGAAAACTTCCCAGGTATAGGGTAAGTCACAGATCTTCAGATTCAGGAGGCCCCCAAATCCCCAAACATATTCAACTGAAAAAGGTCCTCTCCAAGACATGTTATAGTCAAACTGGCAAAACTCAGAGACAAAGAGAGAATCTTAAAAGCTGCAAGAGAGAAGTGGCAAGTCACCTGTAAGGGAGCTCCAATCAAATTAACATAAGACTTTCCATCAGA